CGGGGGGAGCCGAGCTTCCGCGGAGGAGCCGGGAGGCGGCGCTGGGCTCGGGCCCTACCCGCGAGGCGCGCGGTCCTCCGCGAGGGTTGTCTGGTCTGTGGTTGCCGGTGTCCGCACCTGGCCAGCCCGCGCAGGGGCGGAGCCAGGGGCAGGCGGGGTTTAGAGCATTGTTCTGGACCCCTGCAGCGAGGTGCGCAGAGGGAACTTCGGGACCTCAATTAGATGCGCCCCAGGTGACGCGGGAACCTGCCGAGGGGCTGCTTCCGTCTCCGGTGCACCTAGCAGGCCAGTTCGTCCAGATTTCAGCCCTTAGTCCCGCATGTAAGGAGTACATAGGGGTTGGTGGTGGGTAAACTGGTTCAGGGAGGAGAATGTTCACTTGCTTAACGAGTTGCCCAGGAGCTGCAAGGCCCGGTGGGGGCCAGCGAAGGGAGTAAGAGATGAGGTTCAAACAAAATGCCCCAAGCTCCTGAGGTCACTAGAATCTAGATGCCTGGATCCCTGAGGCCAAAAGAAAGAGATAAGGGGGAATGGGTTGTTGGACTCCTGGCGTTAATTTCTGCAATGTTGCTTCTGTTCCCACTAACAGGAAACCTACAGGTCACAGAGACCAAAAATAACTGGGGAGAGGAAGGGCGAGCCTACCAGCATCACCTACCCCTTCTTCAGCGGGACTGGAGCCCTTTCCTCTGTCCCTCTAGTAAAAACCACTTCTTAACCAGTTTTTGATCTCAGGATTATCCACAGACCAAAGCCATGACCTCTGGAGGAATCAGCCCCTCCTACCCACTTCCTCCACCTCCTATAGCACCAATGGCTTGGCTTCCTAATTCTTCACTATAATTCAAGCTCCCCAGGACCCTGACCTTGAAACTCGGACTCAAGGATGTATACCCAGACATGGGGGATGAAGGGAGGCTGTGTAATTTTAAAAAGCATATTGAGCCTTATAATTTTATATGTGGAAAATAAAAATAATCATACCCAAAAAACTTCTTTTGGTAAGTGGAGTCAAAATTTTGGGTGGTGGGGGAATATGCCAATGATCTAGAAATTGGTGTGGCACTACATAACATAGTAGTTAAGAGCAATCTATAGAATCATAGTTCCAACCTCAGCTTCATCACTTACTAATTTGGCCAAGATATTGAATCTTTTAGTTGTTTTTCCTATCTGTAAATTGGGGATAATAGTAGCACCTACTTTTTAGGTTGTCAGGAGAGTTGAATTAGAAAAACCTATGCACTAAAATGCTTAGTTGAGGGCCTGACAAGTAGCAGGAGTATATTAGCTGGTCTCATTTTCAACAGGGGATAAACTGCAGTGGGAGGAGAAGGAAGGTTTTAGTTTCTAAGTTTCACTTTTTACTTTTTAATAAAGTAATCCAGGTCATGTGCTTTAAAAGACTAAGAAACAACCACAAACTCTAAATGTTGGAAGGAGCTGCAGAGACCATGTTAATGGACTTATTTCACAGGTAAGTAATTTAAGTCCAAAAGGAAGGTAAGTTATCAGAATTAATGACCTTCTACCCTCTGTCCACAGGGCAGAACAGAGCTGTGCACCCAGGACACACACAGGACAGGGGTCAAGGTGGGAGAGAAGCATACACTAGGCAATGGATAGATTCCAAGACACCATTGCTGGGGGAGGGGTAGAGTTAGCACATTGGCTCTAACCACACAGCTGTCTCACTGCCACCTCCAGCCCCTATTGTCCTCAGGGGACCCAAGTCCTATCCATTTTTCTGGTGGTTATGGCGGTGGTAGGGGGTGTCCCAGCACAGATGCATCCCCTAGTCTCTTGGTATTATTAGTGGCTTCCTGGTTTCTCCCTGCCGCCTCCACACTTCAGGCAGGAAGTGACTTCAGAGCAGCGGATGCAGGTGGCTCCGGAGAACTTCATGAAGTCACTGGTTCCTACACAATGAGCCAGAAGGCAAGGGCAGGGGAGGGAACAGGGACCTTTTGAAATGTCTGGTGGAATGGGCACAAAATCCAAGATGGTATTACGGAGGAACCATCTTTCTCCAGCTTTTCCCAGTCCCCAGATCCCCCAGGCAAGAACCCCAGGACACAGCAGGCAACACAGAGAGGCTTCTTTATTCCATGATTCTGATCTTGCAAGATCTAACATCTCCCCCCTAGGCACTCTCCACCTGCCCATCCATTCTGCTAAAAAATTTTAAAAAAATAAATAAAAAATCGTAGTTCTTTCTTGCATCTCTCTTCTTCTTTCCCTCCCTCCTGCAAGCCTGCAGTGGAGAATAAGAGGGCGAAGAGTAGCTTTCTCACCAGTTTCCAAATGACAGCCACTAGTACTAACCTATCTTGAGGAAGCTCTACCCCACAAATTCAAAGTGCTTCTTACCCTCTTCCCCATGCCCCATAATCAAATAGGCTCCATGGCAAAAAGGGCAGGACTGTAAATCAAGGCTTCAGAGCATCATCTAACATTCCAGACCTTCTGCCTAGTTAAGAGGCAACCCCATTCCTAACTTTCTACCTGCTTGGCCTACACCAGAAACTGCACCCCTCAACCAGTCTCTTAATTCTACCTGGATACTTGGTCTACTAGGAGGTCCATCAGTCAATTACTTTTTTAAACCTAAACCTCTAACCCCAACAGTAATCCCAATCATAATCCCAAACTATAGCAAACCCAAAATGGAACTCAGCCCCTTTACTCTCCTTGTGGAAGGTTCTAGTGCATTCACTAGTTCCAGACAGGAATGCAGTGATGGAAAGACCGGGTCACAGACCCAGCTTTTCTAAGGAAAGCAAGTTACCAAGCACCTGTGGCTTCTAGAGGCAAAGAAGTTTCTGGGATCTGGACATTTGCCAGAACACGTCCAAAAACCCACTGAAGGAAGGAGTTTGTCTCAGGTAGAGAGAGCCCCAAGGGACATTCAAGCCCAGATGCCTCAGCATCAAAGGACTGGTCATGACATGCTTAGCCAAGATAAAGAGTTTTGTAATGCTCCTCTACATCATAACATTCTTAGAGACGAGGCAGAATCAGAAAAGGCTGCATCATCTCTAATAAGGAATTTCAGATCTCTTCCCTATGGAGGGACCAATTCAGTGCTAAGAACAGGCCCTAGTGGGAGGGTTGTGGGCTCTATCGTGACAGACACAGTGGTATCAAACCTCAGTGAACAAATGAATGGGACAGTTAGGGGTATAAGAAAAAGCCTCTCCAATCATCCCCCCAGTTCCAAGACTGACAAAGCCCCCCACCCCCAGCCCTCGGGAGGCATTTATTCCCTCCATTTCAGGCTTACCACACAGTTTCCATAACCCTGAAGAACAGAGAAAAGACTACCCAGTTCTAGCCTGCTAGAGAACCTATAATATCCAGGATACCAGAGAGGGCTCCTGACCCGATTCCACAAACCCACGTGTGCCCAGAGCTGCCCTAGACAAAGAAAGGTTCCAGACCTAGAATTAGGGGGGCAGGACACAGGAAACCCATTTCTCCATTTGAAACAAACCAACAAGCAAACAAATAGGAGAAAGAACAATTCTAAAGACAGAAGTTATGGCAATAACAACATAGAACACTCAAGCCGAGGGACACAGCTAAGTGCTAATCTCTGCCAGCAGAGCTGTGAAGAGAACACAAAATTTCAGATCTCATAGGGAAGAGATCTCACATTCTGTGTTTCAGGTCACTTTGATCACACTGGGAAGAGGGAAGTGGGAAATGCAGTAGAATGAAGGCCCTGGTGCCACCCAAAGGCCTCAATAAATTATATTTACAGATAAACCAAATGAGATAGGGACTGCAGGTGGAGGACTGTTTCCTAAGAAAACTAGGCCTCCAACCTCTCCTCTTCCCAGCTCCCAGCCTGCTTTCTCCTCAGAAACAATGTTGATTGTGGGGAAGAGGTTTTGACCAGCAAAACAGAGGCAGATCGAGTCAGGACCTGCCACCCCTGCTCTCCCCAGCGAGAAATTAAGGTGGTAGCAGTTTCTGAGAATGGAGGGGCCTTGCACACCTTCATGCCCAAATCTGACAGAGAAGCCAGGTGTGGGCCAGCAGCTTTCCTGGCTTCCAGAAAGTGACTGGGCTCTGGGCTGTCGCTCAGCTAAGGCCCCCCCAGAATGTGGTAGTGCACTTTGGTGTTGGTAGCAGCTCCATGTTTCTGGCGCAGATGCAGCCGCAGTTGACTCTTGTGCCGGAAATGCAGGCCGCAGGGGTCGCACTGTGGAGGGGACAGCCAGATCAGGTCCCTCTCCATCCATAACCACCTTTTAGGTGTTGAGTGAGGGAGAACTGTTAGCTCTCCACCCAGGAGAAGCTCTTCAGTCCTGATGTCCTCACAAATCCTCAGGGAGAGACCAAGGAGATAGGCACTGCCCTCTTCGGCAAAGGATTGTCCATCCCTTAGCTCCTCTTCGGGAGCTAGCATCCAGTCAAGGAGCCTAACTTCTATACCTGCCCCTTTCTACCTCCATCTTCGCCCCTTACCCACATTCCTACCCTAGGCCCCACCCCTTGCACCCAGGACTCTTCCAGGGCACTGCCCATTTGGAAGAGATCTAGGGACCCAGGCCCCCTCCTCTTGGGGCCCCACCCCTAGGTAAACGGGAGATAACTAAGGCTTTGGGCCGGGCCAGGTCTGGTACTCACGTGGTAAGGCTTCTCCCCTGTGTGGATGCGAACATGGCTTTTGAGGGTCTGTAGGTGACGGAAGCGCGTCCCGCAGGTGGGGCAAGGATAGGGCTTCTCCCCCGTGTGGATCAGCACGTGCGCACGCAGATGTGCTACCTGGGAGGGGAGGGGGCCTCAGATGAGGCCTCTGGGAAATACAGAACCCTCCCCAAAGGGCCACTCTGCCCTCTTCAGATTTGCCTTTGAGACAGTTCTGAGACTGGCTCTGTACCTGTACAAAGCGGGAACCGCACGTCTCACACTTATAGGGCTTCTCTCCTGAATGGATGCGGCTATGCGTTTTCAGGTTAGCCGGCCGGTTAAAGCGGGCTCCGCAGATGGAGCAGTGGTAGGGCTTCTCCCCTGGAGGCAGGGAGGAAGGGAAGTCAGGGACTCTGCCCTAGGTCACCTGTGGGCACAAAGGCCAGGGGCCTCTCCTCCCTGTTCCTCCCCTACCGGTGTGCACCGTGCGGTGACTGGCCAGGTTGCCCTTGTAGCGGAATGCAGACCGGCAGAGCTGACACTTGTAGGGTTTGTTCTCATCTCCAGGAGCCAAGGGGTCCAGCCCCGATGAGCACCCAGCCACAGCCTCACAGTTTTGGCAGCTGAAAAACTCACTTCCTGCAAAGTGGGGTGGGTAATGACAAGACCAGAGAATCCTCAAACCACAGAGTAGTAGGCTTTCTTTTCCCCAATTTACTGTTAAGACTTCTGGGGCCCCTTTGACTTGCTCCAGGTCACAGGGTTCATAAGAGGGGAAGCCAAGATCTGACTCCATGTCTATCTGTCTTCAGAGTACTCTGCTAATCTCTTCAATGGCAGTGGTGGTAGGTGGAGGTCCCTACTAGTGGGTGGAAGTTTCCGTTTCTCTCTTCTCTTGCACCACTCTGGATGACAGCTTGCCAGAAAGGCCTTGCTGAGCTCTGGGCTGAATGGCAATAGGCCGGAAGTTCCCAAACACTACTGCTCATTGGAAGCTTTAAAAAAATACTAAAGCCTGGCTCCCACTTCTAGACATTTTGATCTATGGGGTGTGCCCTGGGAAATAGAATTTTAAAAAGCTCCATAGGTGATTGTAATTTGCAGTATGTAATTGGAATTGGTCTTTCCTGAGGTCTTTTGGCCCAAACTGGCTTTGACCGGCCATAGGAGAAAAGCCCAGAAGGAGATAAAAGGGGGGGCTCTTACCTGGCGGTGGCCGAGCCCGCCCAGTGGGAGATGATGCAGTGGTTTCTGGAGCCCGGGGTGTGAGATGGGGGGTATTGACTGGAGCCCCATATTTGAACTGTACAGTGCCAGCAGTTGGAGAGAGCCTAAGCAGAGTAAACGGAGAGATTATGTGTGTATGGGGGAGCTTCTCTGCTAGAGAACTTGAAGCCAAAGGCCTACACTCTGGAAGTGAGCCAATACTGACCAATGAGCCACATTCAACTGTGCTGCCAAAGACCCACTTCACTGAGTAAGCCTGACCGGCCGGGCCTCTGGCCAACTTCCTAAGGTGGGCTAGTGTCTCTGGAACCCACCCACTCACTCCCTGCTCCTGACCACCCAGGCCCAATGGCTCTCCCTGCTTCCTAGCTGAGGTTGGTCACTGCAGATTCTTGGGGTTCCAGTTTCTGTACCTGCTCTGGGGGCCGGGAATGGGTCCTTCTTCACTGCCACTGCTGCTGCTGGAAGCCTCATCTCCACTGGGGAGCCCAGCTTGGGGGCAAAGTTGACCAGAACTCCTCTCCCTCACCAGGCTCCCTGCTTGGGAGGCCTGAGAGTTTAGCACGATGAACTTGTATTTTTTCCAGTTGCAGGCCTTGGGGTCTGGGCTGCCTGGACTGGGGGGGCCTTGACTGCAGCTTCGAGACTCAGTAGGTGGGTCTGGGTGCCCTTCGGAGCGCCTGGGACTGCCTGGTGGAGGGGCCGTTGGGGGCGTGGGGGGTTCTGCCTCCAGGGGCCGCAGGGAGATGCCCAGAGGTTCATAGCTGGGAAAAGTGCGATGGACGTTAGTACTATCTCCTAATCTTGGCCTCTGCCCCTGAAACCTGGGATACCAACCACCTCACCCACGGAGAACACGGAGCTGGGGCTTCTCACCTGGCCTGAATGAAGCGGTGGCATGCCTGGACTACATGATCCATCTGCAAATAGGTGGCGGCCGCAAGAACAGCTGGCGCAGTGGCCGGAGAGAGGCGTAGGCGCGAAGTGTACATGAAGTCCAGGAGAGGGGCAAAGCCTCCGGCTTCGGGGCCCCCGGGCAGGGAGAGCACATCCACCCCAATTCCTGCACGGCCTCGGAAAATCGAATAGAAGAAGCCACTGGAGAAAGGGCAGATAGGGCACATTAGGCTAGGGAACCAAGGAAGAGGTGCGCCGCTATGAAAGCCCCGCCCCGTGGAGAGCCCCGCCTCCTCCCCACTGTCGCCCCGCCTCCTGGGCGGCTTCTGGGAGGCTTAGCTCCGGATTCCCTCCCGAAGACCTTATGGCTCCGCCCCTTTCCCATTGGGTCCCACTCCACCCCCAGAGGCTCCCCTCGAACCTGCAGGCGATAAGAACTGCCTTGTGAGCTCGGAGGGGTTGCCCGCCAACCAGCAGCGTGACGTCAGTGAGGATCCCGCGCAGGCGCAACTCGTTGAGGTTGCCGAGCACGTCGGAGGAGTGGCGCGTGAACTCGCGGACGTAGCCCAGCGCTCCCTCCGGCGAAGCGGCGGAGCCCATCCCGACGCCGGCCTGCGGGTGCCAAGGGGTCCGGGCAGTCCTGAGTCGCCTTCCGTTCCGCACTCTGCCCCTTCCTCCTGAGGGGCAACTATAGCCAAGCCCCCGGCCCCGGCTCACGCAGCCTCACTGAAATTCTTGCTCTTTCTGCCCTCGATCACATCATCGCTCGCTTTTCCCCTCTGGATTTGAAGGCTCCCACTCTGCGGCGTCGATGGCGAGCGTGGGGACTCCGGCCCGCAACGCCCTTAGTTCGACTCCCAGAGCCCTTCCAGCAGCTACCCACCC